ATTATATATTTCATGTTCAAATCTGACTTTCTCCCATGCACCTGTTCTCAAGATGACCAGGAGTGAGTAAGGTCTTTCAAGCATGGAGCTTTACCAGTATATACACGATATTATGCAGAATTCAGTTGTTCTCTGGTTATTCGGTTGGGTTACCTTGGAGAAGACCTTTCCCTTTTAATTGCAAAGTATTCATAGTCCTGCCTTTAAGGCAATTTAGTCATGCACACTTAGGTGCGGGGAAGGTAATGGTTAGGCAGCTTTCCTGCGAAGACAACATATGCACACTGTCAGCCATCTGCTCACATTCCCACATCAGAGAATCTTGTCTGCTAGTGCAATTTAAGATTTCTCTGCTTGGGGCTGCATTTTGAAGTAGCTGTTGTTCTAGGGCAGAATCGCAGGATCTTATTTTCACATAAGATCCTGGCAATCCTTTCTTCCATAGTCAAGGCACAATACAGCGTTCATACAAAAATGAGCCGAGATACATGGTTATGAGAACGTTTGACATGTGTCCTTTTTTTGCTGGTGGAAATGTAGCTTTTATTTCAGGGGCTCTGGCACCTTAAAAGCCTGACATCCCCTTAAATTAATTGGATGGTTTCAAACTCTTGTTCACATGATGAAGTCACATCTCACTTCAGCATTAGGGGCTCTCTGGGCTAAGGCTGTGTCATATTATGAACAACATTTTAATCATCATCGTTTATACAAACAATGCAGGCTGCAAGTTTTAAAAAGTGAAAGAGAAGAGTGAGGGAAAGAAGGAGTGGACAGGACTGGGTTTGGGAGAATGATGTGGAGGTCTGGAGTGGTGAGGATGGTAAAAGTCAATATTGGGAGAGGTATGTGCAGAAAGGGCGTCACAAGACATCTTCCAGAGTGAAATTCTAGAGTACTATGAGAAGCTTTCCCTTTGTTAGGCCAATAAAAATGACTTTGCGGATGTGGCTCACAATTTTTAAATACAAAACAAGCAATTTCCAGGTACCACATTGACCGGACTTTATCATTTTCCCAGCTAATAACCCAGCTATTTGACTAAGTATGTTTGTATATTTTCTCCCCCACCCAATCTTTAAAAATCTACCCCCCTCCCACTTGCACTTTAATGCTATAGAGATGTGGAAATGAGCAATATGATGGATGGATGGATGCAGCTTGTCTGGGTTTTTCACCACCATTTCCCCCGGGGCGCTCCATCTGCTGGCAGAGAGCACCATCCCAAAAGATGGTATCTTTTGCAAACTCGACAGCTAACAGACAGCTTCTCTCTGCATATTTCCCAGAAGAAGAGTGGGCTTAATCTGTTTTCCCCCCTCTCCTTCCTGTGGCATATTTCGTGATATTCTTTCTGACTTCCATTGTTCCCAGTGCTCCACCTTAAATAAAAATGCTAAGGGTGGGAAACAGGAATGGAGACTTTACACTCTTGTGACACTGATAGATTCTCATTTGAAACTGACATGAGATTTAATTGCTCACTGAGCCACTGAGTTGCCCTTTAAGGCACATCCTGCCACATCCTGTTAATGAGCTCAGTGGCTACATTCACCCAGCAGTAGCTAGGTGCCATGTGGATACACACACACACACACACACACACACACACACACACAGTGTTATTATTTGAAGATTATTGGGGTTACAGCCCTGGATCTGGGATTTACCATCTCAGATGCTATCTACTAGAATCAATCATGATGTACAATTATGTGGTATTTGTTTATGAGAATCAGCTAGTCCAGAGAATCAATGTGACACAGTGTTTGTATAAGCTTTGTGTAAGCATTTCTGAGGAAGCGGAATTGCTGTGGTTTGCTTTTGCACAGCAGCTGTCCCTGGAGTGACAGAGCATCGCTAGAGCTCACCCAATAAGTATCTCGTTCCCAATTAGAACTTGGAAGTGGAGCTGCTTTTGTGCAGAGAGAGAGAGTAGTTTGGATGGCAGCTGATTTGGCATTGTGTTGTGATACATTGTATACTGTACAGCAAATTAAAATGCTGATAGTTTTATTTTAATAGGTAAGCCTAGAGTGTAGGATTTACTGTAGCCTATTGTCACCTAAGGCAGTTTGGCCATCCCCTTAGGTAAAGGTAAAGGGACCCCTGACCATTAGGTCCAGTCGCGACCGACTCTGGGGTTGCAGCGCTCATCTCGCTTTATTGGCTGAGAGAGCCGGTGTACAGCTAAGCCACTTCTGGCGAACCAGAGCAGCGCACGGAAATGCCGTTTACCTTCCCGCTGCAGCAGTACCTATTTATCTACTTGCACTCTGACGTGCTTTCGAACTGCTAGGTTGGCAGGAGCTGGGACTGAGCAACAGGAGCTCACCCCATCGCAGGGATTTGAACTGACGACCTTCTGATCGGCAAGCCCTAGGCTTTGTGGTTTAACTCACAGCGCCACCTGCGTTTAGTGCTGACTAAAAACTACTTCTCCAGGCTGAGCCTTACCAGGAAGTCACTCCTACTAGCCCCTCTATGGACTGTTTCTTTCCCCACAAGATATAGGGCACCCTTCTGAGCAATATGACTCAGGAAAATCTATGTCCCAAGTCTCTCTGGAGACTGGATCTTGCCAGTCTCTCTGGCACCCCACTCCTTTCCAGAGCAATCAGATTGCAGAGGTGCAGTTTAACACCGCTTTAGAGCATTTTATCCAAGAAAGGAGATATATGCATTGATCGAACAAGCCCAAAATGATAAAAGTGTGCTCTAACGACTCAACTCACGCTCTGGATTGTGTGTGTGTGTTTGTTTTTGAGGATGGTGAAGTCTGACTCTCTTTTTGAAAACAGGCCACTTGTGTGGGTGGATTTTTTCCCTTTGGGACTGCTGGCCAATCTGGCCTGGGAGAGGAGATGAGAATAGCCACTTGCAAATTTGGATTTAGTCAAGGGACAAGTGGGCTTTGAAGTTGGCCTTCTGGCTCAGTATGCTAATTGCTGAAAGCAGATGTGATTAGGAAATGAGACTGACACCTATCAGGAGGGACAGTGCTTAATTATCACCACTTTATGAGTGCTTAAATTGGCTGTCACTTTGGGAGGAAGCACCCAGGAGTTGGAAGGGACAATAGGTGTGAAACAGCATGCTTCTCGGAATGTGATCATGTCTAGCCTGCTCTCAGGGAAGCTGGAGGTTAGTTTAATGCAGGGGTAGGCAACCTAAGGCCTGGGGGCCGGATGCGGCCCAATCGCCTTCTCAATCTGGCTCGCAGCCAGTCCAGGAATCAGCGTGTTTTTACATGAGTAGAATGTGTCCTTTTATTTAAAATGCATCTCTGGGTTATTTGTGTGGCATAGGAATTCGTTCATTTTTATTAATTTTTTTCAAAATATAGTCCAGCCCACCACGAGGTCTAAGGGACGGTGGACCGGCCCACGGCTGAAAAAGGTTGCTGACCCATGGTTTAATGGATACCAAATTTATCCAAAAGCCTTTTCTTAATCATAACCATGCAGGGGTGTCAACTTGAATAAAATATTGGGTGGGGGGCACTACCCCCCATAACCAATTGCATGGCGCGATGCACAAACACCATTTGAATGGCAATGACCATCAACTTTGGGGGGCCCTGGCCCCCTCAAATGTTTTATGTGCGGGGGGGGGCGAAGGGAGCTTGGCCCCTAGGAGTTGGCTCCTCTGTAACCATGCCAACATTCTAGTGGAAAATGTACTTGGATTATAAAAAAAATAAGCCTGCCATTTTGTGGTCACCAAAACAGCAGCCAGCTTTCCTCTTTCAATGGCTGCCTTAGGATTGCTTCCTCCATGAACATACTTTGCTTGTATTAGTCAACATTTGGTACCTTGCTGTAAACTGACTCTATTACCAAGAGGTGGTTTGAAAATTCATTATGTGCTGCTGTGACACATGTAAGGCACCACTTGATGGTGCTTTATCAACATGCACACCTGAATCGTATAAATGGATGGCACTTTAAAAACTGTTTATCTTTTGGACAGAAGGGTAGAGTAAAAAGAAAAAAAGAAATAAATACAATAGCACCTCACTGTAGTACAGGGGTGTGCCACTGGGATATGGGGAGTTTCTTCACACCATTGCAAACTTCTTGGGGAGGTTTGTGTGGCAGGTGGTGAGGGCCCACCATTCTTATGGCTCCACGTGAATGATTTGCTAAAGGGAGGTAATCATCACAGGGAACAATCTAAAGTGGCCTCCAATATCCTATCATTTTTGTGCAAAGCAGAACTTAAAATACAAACACTGTTTACAGGGCGAGGCTAACGGTACTGGTTGCTCAGACTACGGCTGGGAAGACTTCAAGCTTGTGGCAGGACAGAAGTCTTTTTTTGCTTTTGTTAAAGAATTGGGGATCAGAAATTATTGTTGACCTACTGTAACTCACCCAGAGATCTACCAGTAGCTTCCAATCTACCTGTTGCTCTCCCCGTGTTTAGACTTTGCATGGGTAACAACTGCTTTTCACATGACATGGTAGTTGAATTCTGACTGACTCCATGGACTGCATGTTGAGAGGATGTTATACTGTATTGTTTTAATATAACAAAGCTTCCTGCAAACAAGTCAGCTAGGAAGAGGTCTAAAAAACCCCCTCAACACCCCCACTTTTGAATTGTGATTCAAGTCCAGTTTAATGGATTCAAATCCATTGGAAAAATTGACTCGTGTGTTTAATTTCAGGGTGTTCAGACAATGATCACATAAATCCATGTTTGACTGTTGCCCATTCTCAGTCAGCTTGAAAACCCACATGGCTATTCATCTATACATGGTGTGCATCTTCTGGTTGCTTATTTACTGTTAGGAACACATATAGGGAAACGCAGAGTAAGTTGATGACATGAGAGAAGTCTTAACAGCAGTAGAGAAGATGAGCTGGGCAGGACTTCTCAAGAGAGCCTCCTTGAGTGGTTTTCAATTTCACACATTCTGTGATTTATCTGTGCTTGTGCATCCCTGGCGCTGCAGGAAATAACCATAGCCTCTGTTGTTGTATTTGGTTTGTCAGAAGTTGACCTGCCTCTGAAGAAGGATGGCTTCACATCAGAGGGGACCACACTGGAAGCACTGCTGCGTGGAGAAGGGCTTGAAAAGAAGGTAGATACTAAAGAGGAGGACACTCTACAAGAAATCCAGGTGATTAAGTGCTCTTCTATTGGCCTGGTCACATTTCCAGTCTATGTAATACTGAAATGGCTGCTTATAAGATTTTGTGGCTCAGTCTCAACCTCCAGCCTATTAATCTCTTGTGACCTTTATCCCATGATCTACAGGAGAGCACACACAAATGCAAATACCAGCTGCTGTATATAACCATAATCTCCAATGAGAAGGAGAAAGAAAGAAAGAGTGTGTGTGTAATTGTGTTTCTCTGTTGCTGTGTAGGTGTGCCATAACCAACTATTGCAAAGGACCATAACATAATAACAATTGGGGAAATGCTGCCCACACAAACCAATGGGTAGCCCAATTCATTCCCCTTTCCTTCAAGATTAAGGAAAATGAATATACAATAGAGGAATGTGGGAAGGAGTGGATTTACTTCACATAAGACAAATGCACTGCAGAAAGTGCAAATTAACACTGCACCAAATACTGCAGGGGCACCTTGTGGGAAGACACATTTGCATCTCAACACTACATGAAGGGCGAGCATTGTGACTGCAACACTAGTGTGAGTGTGTGTGTGTATTTGATATCTATAGCACATCCAGGATTTGATACAATTATTGAATAAAAGCATGATGGGAATTGAAACTCCTCTATAATTTTGAGGTGGAATACTACAGCAAACACTCAAAAGATGCATTCCAGTGTAATGGGTGTATTGCAAAGTAGGGGTGGAAGATATATGTTTATCCATGGAAGATTCCACTGTGCCCTTTGAGCCTCTTCAAAGCCCTGACTGGCTGCTGTTTCGTTGCCAGGTGTCCCCCCCCCCACCCCAAATTGGTCATCTTTCTAGGCTACATAATGATGCCACTGAACCCTGGAAGAAAAAAGCCAAGAAAACCAATTTGAAAGCCCCCCAAAATGGCAACAAAGCACCAGCTAGTCAGGGCTGTGAAGATGCTTTGAACAGATGTGAACAAAGTGAGCAACTGAAGGGTTCCAATAAGGTTTTTGGAAGACCCCCAAACCCCACCTTGTAGTCTTAAAAATGATCAGTTGTTGACGCTTGGTACAGGCAAACTACATGTCCTCCTTGAGAGCAGTTTTGGAACTTTCAATCCATAACTTGAAATGGCCGGATCCAAAGTTGCTTTGTATTCGAACAAAGCCAGAGCCTGCATCCACAATGTCTGATTTCCTTTGCCTTTCTGTTATGAAGCCTCTGTTGTTGTGGGAATTGTTTTTAATTACTGTTTATTGTTCTAACTACAGAGGGTTTTGGAAAATGATGAAAATGCAGATGAAGTGAATGAGGAGGAAGAGATGGAGGAAGATATTCCGAAGCGAAAGAACAGACCCAGAGGACGGGTAGGTTGCCTCAGCCACAGGGGGGGGGGAGAAGTTTGTATTCTGTTGTTTCTGTTTATATTGATTGCATAGATAGACAAAGAGCCTAATGATATCTGTGTTATGTGATATGTTTTGTATGGTATGTATGGCATATGTATTGGTATGTATACATTATAAAGTGATGTGATGAACAAGGATTCCTTTGAATCTTTTCTCTTTTCACTCTCTGATTGTGGTTTTTAATAAAACTGTAAGAGAAACAAACCTGGGAGGGAGAGGGAATGAATGCACACATGGAGATATTTGTGTGCATAGATGGCACAACTTTTATTATTTGGTGCTTGTTTTAGCTGCCTTTTCAGATGGGCTGCAGTTATATCTTTTCCCTTGGCGGTCTCAGTGCAGGGAAGAGCTGGCTATTGATCAGTGCTCTCTGCATGGGTCTTGCAGCTGGAGGCTCTCAGTAATCAGATCCCCTGGCAAGAAACCCACACAGCATGAAGGCAGGCAGCTCACCTCCCACTCTTCATGCTGTCTGGCTGTTCTGGCCCTCTCTGCTCTCTGGAGTGAACTGCTGGAGGCTCTCAGGACATGAGCAAGCACCAGCCCCTGCAAACCTCTGGTAGCAGACTCACAGCAGGGAGATCTTTACATTAGCCAAATGTTCACAAACTCCTCTATTCTCCTCCATCAATAAGTGGCTTTTACGGGGTGGGGGTGGGGAGACACCCAGGCCACCTTACAATCTGTTAAATTGTAATGTGCCACAAGCAGAAAGCAGGAGGGAAAGACATTGTGCTTGTGGTAACGGTAGGAAAAGCCCACAAGCTATATTTTCATCTTCCCGTAAAATCTCATTCTTGCACACGGCTCCTTCTACTCTTGAAATTTCCTCTTTGGCCCTTGCCTGCCTGCCTGCCTTGCCTCCCTTCACTTTATGCTATGACTTCATTGGGCTGCCCTTGGCTTGGAGCTGACCTATTGCACAGAATGAGGCACACACTACATTTGATGGCAGCAGGCGTGCATCTTTGCAGGCAAGTCTGCCAAATTAATTTGCAGTTAGAATAGAGTCAGACGGAGTGCAATTAAAAGGGTCAAAGGGCCTCTCCAAACTGGTGTTTTGTTGCAGAAGTATTCTGCAATTTGTGTTCTTGACACAATCATAGCACAGTAGTGGCAGATTTGTTCTGCGATGCTTCCCCATTATTGCTGCCTGGAGCGGCTGTAATGGGGCAAAAATAAGTTAGAACATTTGTGCTATAGAATGTTATGGGGCACGCACTGACTGGAAATGAAGCAGTGGGTAAAGGTAAAGGTACCCCTGCCCATACGGGCCAGTCTTGACAGACTCTAGGGTTGTGCGCCCATCTCACTCAAGAGGCCGGGGGCCAGCGCTGTCCGGAGACACTTCCGGGTTACGTGGCCAGCGTGACATCGCTGCTCTGGCGAGCCAGAGCCGCACACGGAAACGCCGTTTACCTTCCCGCTAGTAAGCGGTCCCTATTTATCTACTTGCACCCGGGGGTGCTTTTGAATTGCTAGGTTGGCAGGCGCTGGGACTGAACAACGGGAGCGCACCCCGCTGCGGGGATTCGAACCGCCGACCTTTCGATCGGCAATCCCTAGGCGCTGAGGCTTTTACCCACCATGCCACCCGCGTCCCTCTACCCTTGCAAGCAAACCCTTGCCCTCAAACCCTTGCAAGCAATATTGAAAGCTGGATTGTGTGTGTGACAGCCCTGATAGCATCATGAGCACAAATCACCAACAAAGTGCAATAAAAGGTATGTCTGGAGGGAGCCCAAAGTGGTGTTTGTGCAGGGAGTACACAAACCCTCCCACCACTGGAAATGAGTTCAGCAGGAAGGAAAGTTCCTGGGGGTGGAGGAGAGGCTGGGGGAAAAGCTGCAGGTGGGAGCAGACTTATGAATCCTTGTCTACATGCCTGCTTGTTTCTTTAAGTTACTCCCTATCTTCACCACCACCACCACTACTCCTATCACTAAAAAGGTAAAGGTAAAGGTAAAGGGACCCCTGACCATTAGGTCCAGTTGTGACCGACTCTGGGGTTGCGTGCTCATCTCGCTTTATTGGCCGAGGGAGCTGGCGTACAGCTTCCGGGTCATGTGGCCAGCATGACTAAGCCGCTTCTGGCGAACCAGAGCAGTGCACGGAAACGGTGTTTACCTTCCCACCGGAGCGGTACCTATTTATCTACTTGCACTTTTTACGTGCTTTTGAACTGCTAGGTTGGCAGGAGCAGGGACTGAACAACGGGAGCTCACCCCGTCGCGGGGATTCGAACTGCGACCTTCTGATCAGCAACTCCTAGGCTCTGTGGTTTAACCCACAGCGCCACCCGTGTCCCACTACTACCACTACTGCTGTTAATATAACAACAACAACAGCAGCAGCAGCAGCAACAACAACAGCAACAATATATGTGTATACCACCCTTTATCCGAAGATCCCAGGGAGGTTCACAACAGAAAAATACAAAATGAGAATACAAAATGCATAACAGAGCAAACCATTAACCCCTCTCCCACAACCACGTTTAAGCACATTCACTTTACATATGAATTGGGAAAACCAGCTTTTAAAGATGAGGGTCTGCTGCCATAATGTGTACTGTCATGGACCCAATTCACTACCAGCTCAGACTGCCTCTCCATTTAACCCGGCACTGCCTCCTCTGGTTGGCAGTGGCTCTCTCCTGGAGAGGTCTTTCCCATTGTGAGGGTGGGGGTACAGCACTGCTCCACTGTGCCAGCCCCTCCTGGGATGCAATAGGAAATTGCCCCACACTGCTATTTTGCTCCTGGGTCTGATTGCGGTTCTGAGAAAACACAGAGTAAATTCTGTAGCCCTGAAGACTGCCTACCCCCCCCCACACTTTATAGTATGCTGTGCCTGAAGTACAATGCAGAGCCAGTTAAGACACTGAAGCTCTGGTACAATGTTTCCCCAGCAGCCTCTCCCACTAGGACACATAAAAAAACGAAGGTGGCCATTGTAACAAAGCACCTCATCCTTTCTTCCTAGATCTAGATATTCTTCTCCACTCATCTGTATTAAGGACACCATTGCACTAGATTTCCAGAAGCAATCTAGAGGCCCCTAAATGTATATTTAGGCCCATGTGTTTGGTTGTTTCAGAGCAGCAATGAGGGAATGCAAAAGAAATAATGCGGAGGAGCTGATGCGCTGGCCATTCCCAATTTGTGCACGTCCTCCCCTTTCCTGCAGCATGATTTCATTTTTAATCTTGGGCCCCTTCATCTGTCCTTCTGGCAAGCGTCCCTGTTTGGCTCCATCTGAACGCTCCAAGGCTGCTCTGGCGAAGCTTTCCGGCTATGTACATCAATCCCTTGCTGTAGAACGGCAGGAGGCTGAAGGCAGCCATGGATGACTGAATGCCACATGCTGAAGCACTGACAGCAAGCACGTGGCACTCGAGTTTGTGCCTCTGGGGCGGCTGTCTATTTGCCAGCCCCCCTGAGGCCAGCCATGAAATTATGGGAGTGTGGGGAAAGAGAGTTGAAGGCCAAGGATATATGGATTTGCAGACAGTGAGAGGGAGATTTAAAGAACATTGTCGGGGAGAAATAATGGGCAGGACAATAAGGCCTGAAATCACAGAGTGCACATTACACACAACCTGAGAAAATGAGCATGCATTTTAGGGTGTGTGTGTGTGTATATTTTGCGCATTGTGTAATGCAGGTTAGGTGTAGCTACCATTCATTATTCAGTGTCCTCAGTGCACCAAGAGCAACCGTTTCTTTTTAAAAACAAAAGAAACAAGAAAAGAAATTAGAAATCAACATGCATGAATGTGCTTGGGGCAAATTTTACCGAAAGCTCCAGGTTCAGACATTTTAATTTATGCATGTGCTTCGCTCTCTCCTATTTTAAACAAGGAGACTTTAAAGTGAAAACTTTGTGTGCAATGTAACTGTTGTTATAATTACTGCACTATTAACAACGCTATAACACTTTTGGATGTGTACAAAATGCTTAATAGTGTTCATTTCTTAGAGCATCTCTTTTCAGAGTCTATATCCTTTAAAAATCACATTTCCACTTTCACTTTGTTTCCTCCTGGTAATGAGGATTATATTGTATCCCTTGTGAAGTTTTAAAAAGAGATGGCTTGCATCAACCCTGCCAGAGCATTGCTCCCCAGCATTGTAGAACAGAGGCATCATTCCCTTCTCAGCTGTTTGCGGCTGCTGGCCCAATGTACTGGAGTCCAGGGACATGGGCAAGAGGGAGAAAATTAGTCTCAGAGGGCCCTCCTAGTACAGTGGTACCTCGCAAGACGAATGCCTCGCAAGACAAAAAACTCGCTAGACGAAAGGGTTTTTTGTTTTTTGAGTTGCTTCGCAAGACGATTTTCCCTATGGGCTTGCTTCGCAAGACGGAAACGTCTTGCAAGTTTGTTTCCTTTTTCTTAACACCGTTAATACAGTTGCGACTTGACTTCGAGGAGCAACTCATAGCACGCGGTGTGGTAGCCTTTTTTGAGGTTTTTGAAGACTTTGGTGATTTTTGAAGCTTTTCCAAAACTTTCCCAACACCGTGCTTCGCAAGACGAAAAAAATCGCAAGACGACAAAACTCGCGGAACGAATTAATTTCGTCTTGCGAGGCACCACTGTATTGGTGTATTGTGAACAATGGGTTAAATTACACAGTGCTTGGTCTCATGTCTTGAGGAGTACCCCCCTCCCAATAATATGGCTGTCCTGAGATAAGGGTGCCAGGTGCACTGGGTTACCATAGCAACACTAACAAGGTCAAGTGTATGACTAGCTGAGTCCTCCCATTGGTTCAGAAAATACACCTACATGTAAAGGTAAAGGGTCCCCTGACCATTAGGTCCAGTCGTGGCTGACTCTGGGGTTGCAGCGTTCATCTCGCTTTATTGGCCAAGGGAGCCGGCGTACAGCTTCCAGGTCATGTGGCCATCATGACTAAGCCGCTTCTGGCCAACCAGAGCAGCGCATGGAAACACCGTTTACCTTCCCGCCGGGAAGTACCTCTTTATCTACTTGCACTTTGACGTGCTTTCGAACTGCTAGGTTGGCAGGAGCAGGGACCGAGCAACGGGAGCTCACCCCGTTGCAGGGATTCGAACCGCCGACCTTCTGATCGGCAAGTCCTAGGCTCTGTGGTTTAACCCACAGCGCCACCCGCGTCCCTACGCCTACATGTAGAGACGGTTTTAATAGTCTCTAGGGCATGGGCAGGCAAACTAAGGCCCAGGGGCCGGATCCGGCCCAATCACCTTCTAAATCCAGCCCGCGGACGGTCCAGGAATCAGCGTTACATGAGTAGAATGTGTTCTTTTAGTTAAAATGCATCTCTGGGTTATTTTGTGGGACCTGCCTGGTGTTTTTACATGAGTAGAATGTGTCCTTTTACAGTGGACGCTCAGGTTGTGAACATGATCCGTGTGGAAGGCACGTTTGCAACCTGCAGCGTTCACAACCCGCAGGGCTGCATCTGCACACACGCGGGTTGCGATTCAGCACTTCTGTGCATGTGCAAAGCACAGAAGATACCTAGAGATACCACTGTAATGTCTGGGTGGTGGCTGTTGCATTAACATCTTGGTTTATTTCTAGGCTCGGGGTTCTGGAGGTGGCAGGCGAAGGAATGATGTTTCTTCTATGGACGACCACGATAAACCTTACGTTTGTGACAGTAAGTAGCGTCCAGACCCTCCACTCTGCTTTCAGTCTGGTGCAGCAATCAAGACATAATTCATTCCTTTCCAGAAAATGAAACACATTTCACTGCTTTAGAATTTGCTGAGCTGCCACTCCCATCACTACTTGCTGTTACTATTTTTTGAGCGAGAGAGTGAGTGAAAATGAAACCTGTGGCAAGAGACCACACCACACCACACCTCACATCCTTCTTTCTCTTAGGCTCAGTTTCCCTCTCTGCTTCATTTGTGGCCTTCTATGCCTTGGTATCTATGTCTACCCAGTGGCGTAGCGTGGGTTGTCAGCACCCGGGGCAAGGCAAGTAATTTGTGCCCCCTAACCCGTGGATTTGCGCCCCTAACCCGTGGATTTGCGCCCCATAACCCTAACTCCCAGATGTTGCGCCCGGTGCGGCCGGCCCCCCCTGCACCCCCCACGCTACGCCACTGTGTCTACCGCATGAGTCACTCTCTTTTCTTTTTGTGGTTCAGATAAGGCCACACTAAATGCTACATGGGAGATGCATGAGCAGCCTCCCAGCATTCTTCTTCAAATGAAAAAATCGTTGTGGGAGGCTGCCAGTTTGAGCAGAGGTATGGTGAGGAGGGGAGAAGCAGCTGCTTCACCCACTCCCTCCCAGTTACGTTTTTCTTCTTCTCAAAACTAGTCCCTTGCCTGCATTTCTATAGAGGTAGCCATTTTTCTCTCCCATTGTGAATTGGGGATGATTTTGGGCAGGAGGGGAAAGGGATGAAATAGCTCTTTATCCCCATGCTGTCCCTGTGCTGAAACTACCAGCCTCCTGTGGTTGCTTTCCATTAAAAAAATACACACAAAATTTGCCTGAAAACTGTTATATGCATTGCTCATTTAACACCTAGCTCAGCTCTGTGGTTAGAAATAAAAAGTATCACCTGAATACTTAGGTACTTTAAAGGTAAAGGTACCCCTGCCCGTACGGGCCAGTCTTGACAGACTCTAGGGTTGTGCGCCCATCACACTCTATAGGCCGGGGGCCAGCGCTGTCCGAAGACACTTCCGGGTCACGTGGCCAGCGTGACAAGCTGCATCTGGCGAGCCAGCGCAGCACACGGAACGCCGTTTACCTTCCCGCTAGTAAGCGGTCCCTATTTATCTACTTGCACCCGGGGGTGCTTTCGAACTGCTAGGTTGGCAGGCGCTGGGACCGCTTAGGTACTTTACAGGTATGCAATTCCCTTTTCCCAAAAACTTTTTTTTCCAGTCCAAGGGCAAAATCTCATGCTTGGACAGAACTGTCGTGTACACAGTGTTAGAAACTGAGATACGAAAGCTAGGAGCTAAATGGCACTTTAAATCCAGATTATGGGCGCAACAACGGAATGTGTAGGCATATATTTTTATAACAAGAATGCAAAGCTGAAAATGAATGCAGTGCAGCTAAAATATTATGTTCATTTTTTCACATGGTCTAGTCCTTCCCCTGCTTAACCCTCTAATATTCTTCAGAGGGTCTCTTCTGCAGTCTTCAGAAAGTAGCTGGAAGTGGGGAGGCAGAAAAAGGTCCTCCTTTCCTTCCACTCTGCAGTTTTAATCTGAAATCTTAGGTGCAGTACTGTGCCCAGAGCTCATAAACTGCTTGCGCTAATGAAATTCCCTGTCGCAAAATGTGCCTAGAACAATGGGAGTTTCGAACACTGCGTGCACAGTACATGACTGAGCCCTGCTTGGGTGCTCAGTTGTATCAATCCCGCCCTCTGTTCTATGACAGAGAATGTAATTGAAATAAGCCAATCAGAGTGAACTTGCTTTTTGTAAGAATTCCTATGTTTGCCATTACTGCCATTCTAACCCCTGCAAAGGCTCTGTTCATTGGCTTTTTATTGGCGCTACTGTATTGTAATTGAGGACTTTCTCCCACCAATTTAGAAGGCACCTTAAGCACCACACATTTAACCTAATGAAGTCCCAACCTGGTATCTTGTGTCGTAAGAGCTGTTTTTGAATAAACCAATATAGAATTCAGTCTACGGAAGTGCCTTTATATGAATGCTTCCCTAACCTACCATGTGGTGTGACTGTTGCTCAAGGGGCTGGCCAACTAGAAAAGGAAAGTACAGAAAGGTGACAGTATAAGAAGAGCCCTGCTTAGATAAGAGCAAAGCACTATTTAATTCAGGGTACTAGATGTGCCCGATAACAAGGAATGGTGGTGGGAGACTGGGAGCCGACTTTTTTTATTTTTGTTATAACTAGTGAAGAGCCTATCAGTAAGAAGGGTGGTATGCTGTACATTCACTTTCCTCAGTCTCCTCTTTCAACCTCTTCACGTCTTGCTCAGTTCAGTCTTTTCTGCCAGTCCTGTTTCCCTTGATATCATTGGCTGAACTGTCCTGATATTACGAGGGGCTTGTAGGTTAGTCTCCTCTGTGTTTCATTTACTCAGTCGCTCTGATCCTTTGATTTTGGATACTAGGATCCCGTGCTTTTTTCTGGGAGTACTCAAAGGTACACAGTACCAACACCATTTTTCTCTCCCAAATGTTAAAAGTGTAGCACTTACTGTAACAACTTCATGGTGAGTCCTGGTACCTTTTCTTTTTCTTTCCTTTTTTAAAAGCACTGCTAGGACCCATGATAAAGTTTTAAAAATTAAACTTCAAAAAAGGTTGTTTGGAACAAAGGATAGGTTGGGTGAATGCTAACATGAAACTAGACTGAACTCACCTCTGCAATTTACTTGCTCGGTTCGGTCTTCTCTTCCTGCCCTGTTTCCATTGATAACATTGGTGGAATTGTCCTGATATTACAGGGGGATTGTGAATGTAAGTCTCCTCTGCCTTTCATTGGCTTAGTTGCTCTAATGTTATAGAAAACCTGGGCTGATCAATGGCTGGGCTGGAGTTGAGAAGGAAGGAAGGGTGAATGAATCCATATAATTAACAATAAATGAGGGCCTGCATGGAAACAGATGTGAGATGGCACCATAGCTGGTTTGAATTTCTACCCTAAACTCAGCTTTCCTTTGTGGAAAATCTTCAGTTAGTGAAACGTGCAGATACATTCCAAAGTTTATGCCAAGATGAGAAGACTGAACAAATGTGGCCCAGATCAGCATACTTTGTTGGAAGTGATTGTTCCGTGTGATATTGTGGAATCATTGTTTAATGCTTGTTACCTCTGGCCTCGTTCCATTTTCCTCCAACCACGCCACAATAAAATTCCAAATATATTTTTATTCCACAGTTCTTACCATATTCTCAGCCAGCACCTGAAGTTTGTTCTTTTCCTCTTTCACTCAGCAATTCCTTAAGAATAAGGAATGTTCTTAGCTTGTTGTTTCCTGGCATTTAATGCTCCTGCTACTTCCGTTTGTGAGAAAATTTGCTCTAGGAACATACATTGATTAGCACAGTCCATCTATCTAAATCACCGATCAATTGACAGTCCGTGGGCAGCATCCAACCCTCCCCTCAATTTCTGGTGCCCGTTCCCTGAGAGCTTGCTTAAAGGGCACCTGTTCCATCGGGCTGGAAACCAGGGCTGCAAAGGAACAATTGCTCTCAATATTTCCTTTGCAGCCCCAATGTGCATTTGGCACTGAATGCAAGGCCCCCTGCTTTTGGCAGTGATAGGATCCATTCGGAAGCTAGGGCTGCAGAGGAAAAATTGGGAGGACACTCTGAGGCTCTGGATTCCTCCATAGCAGCTTTGCTTATGCTGTGGCTGATGTCATATGACATCAGGTAAGTTAACAGATGTGTGTGGCCAGCTGAAAACAGCCTTGTGGTCTGGATTGCAAGGCCTGGCGGGTTTAATTAGCCTTAAGTCAGAGGTTCTGCACCCCTGCTTTAGACCTTTGTTCTCACTCACTTTAGTTTGAATGAGGTGGCTGTTAAATGAAGCTGAAGCCTAGAAAACTACTGAGCTCTGCAGATTAGGTATTGTCCCTGACAACTGTCCTAATAGCTTACTCTCAGCACACATGTGAGGTTTCTGATAATAGTCTTATATAAATAAGAAAGGTAATATTAATTATACATTCAATACCTGACAGTTGCTTGACTGTAATAGTCTTATATAAATAAGAAAGGTAGTATTAATTATACATTCTGCACCTGTCAAATGGGACAGTGTGTATGATATGTATCAACATTCATGTTTTAAATATGTCTAAGTATTGCTTTGATCATTGCCCCTTACCATCCAGACCACTCATTTTTTATTTCCTTAAAAGAATAGCTGGGCTAAGATAGTTGCACCTCATCAGAATCTTTTTTAAAAAGATGTTCTATTCTTTTCCTAATTCTGCCATAATCCAGTATTTCTTAGACCTCTAATTAAATGTCTTAATTTAGAAACATTTTGCTATATTCTCAAGCTTATTGACAATATTCTCAGGACGTCTAGGGTAATAATCTTTCAAAATACCGTATTTTTCGCTCTATTGGACGCACCGGACCACAGGACGCACCTAGTTTTTAGAGGGGGAAATCAAGGAAAAAATATTATCCCCCCCCCAGCCCCAAAGAGCAACGGACAGGCTGCACGCAGCCTGTCCACTTCTCCCAGAGCTTCTCGGGGCTGCGGGGGAAGCCCGGGTCCCCCCCCCAGCCCCAAAGAGCAAAGAAGCCAAGACAGCGCGCGGGATCCATAGCCGCGCAACTTCTCCAGCCAGGAGCTAAACCTCTCCAGTGCAGCTAAAGAAGAAGACAAGGCAGCAAGCGCGATCCATCCCGCTCACTGCCTTGGCTTCTTCTTTAGCCTTGTGCAGCATCTTTAGTCTTGCGCAATGGGATGGATTGCGCCCGCTGTCCACCGGGGCTGGACTAGATGACTCCTGGGGTTCCCTTCCAACCCTGCAATTCTATGACCTCGGAAGGTGTTTGGGGTCTCCACCACTGGAGGCTTTTAAGCAGCGGTTGGGGGACCATCTGCCTGGCGTTCTTTAGCTGTGATTCCCTACATTGTGAGGGGGCTGGGCTAGATGACCCTTGGGTGGCCCTCCCAACTCTA